TTTAGGGTTTAGGGGTTTTCAGGGGTTCAGGGGTTTAGGGGTTTAGGGTTTAGGGCTTGGTTTCGGGTTCAGGGGTTTACGGGTTTGGCGGTTTAGGGGTATAGGGCTTTGGGTTTAGGGGCTTCGGGGTTTAATGGTCTAGGGGTTTTCGGGTCAGTACAGGGTTGCTATGAGGACAGCACAATTACAAAGGGTCTAGAATTGGTTTGTCTACGCTTATGTTTCGGGGATTCATGGCTGTATAGTTGACCCCAACCGAGGTTCGGGTCTTGGGGGCTGTTTCCTGGGGCTGTTGCCAGCGTGCACAATGTCGGCATTCCTGGAAAATCCAACTCTTCAGGGAGTTTGGCGGATTGCTTCGGCCAAGCTCGTGACCTCTTCTACGGCACTGCTTAACCCAGAAGCCAGATTCTGACATGCGAGAACTGAGAGCGTGGCAAGATGGCGTTGATCTGCTCATTGGCCCTCAGGCACAGACACAGATGTTAAGCTTGGTTTCCCGGTTCATCTTGATGTGACAGATTATGCGTCCTATCCACCAGAAAACCTAAATTTTACACAACTCAGTAAACTCTCAAACCTCCGAATCCGAAAATCCTCAAGCCCGAAGAAGCCTTCTCCCGAATACCCGTGGAGAGCCTTTCTAAACCTTTCCTGAAACCCCAATCCTGGAACCAAGCCCGCCAAACACCCAGAATCCTCAACCGGAGCCCAACCCCAACTGCCAACTCCCCAGAAGAATCTGCAGCACATATTGTATCAAAGCTTGGGCTCCGAACAGCAGCAGAACATTCGATCCGATGTTCGGCATAGCCACCAGCATGACCTGCGCAAAAAACTTGGCACAAGCAATGTATATGCCAGTATATGCATTATTCCCAAATGTGTATATACTTATATATATATATATATATGTATATATATATATATATGTGCATTGTCCATATGGGCTCGGAGGCACACACTTACACACGCACACACACACACACACTCTCTCTCTCTCTCGATCGCTCGCTCGCTCTCTCTCTCTCTCTCTTTCTCTCTATCTCTCTCTCTCTCTCTCTCTTCTTCTTCTTCTGCACAGCCAAAGGAGAGCACTCTCTCTCTCTCTCTCTCTCTTTCTTTCGCCAGGGCTACGGGCAAAGGGAGCAAGCCCCCTTTCTCTCTCTCTGTCTCCCTCTCTCTCTCCCTCTCTCCCTCTCTCTCTCTCGCTCTCGCTCTCGCTCTCCCTTTGCTCTTGCTCGCTCTTCATGCCGGTCTCATCAAGTGATCAGTGCTTCAGTGGCCGCCATTCGCTGCAAGCATATCAAGTGTCATCACTCACATCGGCATAAAGCATCTAAGTCAGCGAAACGTTGCGAAGAGATGAGGGCACTGCAGAGCTACGACGGAAGCTGGGAAATCGCCTTAATAAGACCACCCACAGGACGAGAAAGCAGCTGGCGACCCTACTTCGTGCGCATGAAACGGCACGAGATCCTCACAACTTCGCCTGCTTCGTCAGCTGGACCCAACCTGTAGCAACATCTCCTGAGACAAAAGTCTGCTAGCAAAGCTGCCGACAGATGCTTCTGAGGGGCGGACAGGGGTTTTCTTGAAACTGCTGTGCAGAGCAATGATGTCTTAATAGAGTTGACGGTACCATGATGGTGACCACCAGCATCATAAATTTTCCACAGTCAGCATTACGCCAACTATCACCATCATCATTGCACGTTCCAATATTAACTACACTTGTTTGTGACAAAAAGATTCTTTTGGCATGACTTGTGGGAAGCTTTTCCTTGCGTAAACGCTGCTACATGTATGCTTTGTGCATCCGTGGCGGCCCGGTAGCATATTGCGTGTTCCTGGTCCTTTTGGCTACCATTGCCACTTCTCGCATCAGCATCATCGTCATCTTGCTCACAGTGCTAACATCCTGGCTAAGCTTACTTTCGTGATGATGGTGATGGTGATGATGACAAGGGCGAGAATAGCAGGATGATGTTGGTCATCACGGTTTTGATGCACCTCAATGGTCTAGTCAGCCGTCTGTTTATTTATCTGCGTGGTTGGCGTTCGGTTCGTCAGAAAATAGACAACCTGCAGCTTCATGTTTGCTTGCCGCCGACAGATCGAAATGGCAACATCTTCTGGTAACCTTCGGCTACAGTCGATGCTTATATCACCTGCCTTCATTCTGCTCATGAAAGGGTCATTCTTAGACATATGGTGGGCTTCCAACTCCACCACAGCTTCAACCCAAGGACGAAGCAACAACCAGCATTAATAATTCGTACTAACTGTAATCACTGTAATACTATAATACTTGACTATTATAACACTACAATACTCTATAACAATTGGGAATTCGACCCTCTCGGAGCAGTCCTGGCGCTTCGCGTGCTGGTGCGGCAGCCTGTCGTTTTCCATCTAATGCGAACATCTGAGTGGGTTTACAGATGTTTAAAGAGAATTCGTATTCACATTTTAATATTAAAAGTTGTAGTCTTACGGTATCATAGTGTTGTAGCATTATAGCATTTTATTGTTAGTACGATAATATGAGTGAGTCTCACTGTTCGTATTAGTTAGTTGGTGTAGGGGCCTTGGGTGCGTCTCCAGCGGAAACTCTTTATCGCACCCCGAACTGCCCAGTGTGACGAAGTCCGTCACAGGGAGGCCAAAGCCCCTAAACCCTAAGACTCAAGACCTTAAGCCCCAAACCCCGAAGCCGCAATCCTAAAGCCATGAAACCCTAAACCCTACGACCCCTATAAGCCCCTAAAGCCATCAACCCTGACTCCTAGAAGCCCTAAATTAGGCCATCAACCCTGACTCCTAGAAGCCCTGAAGCCATGAACCCTAAACCCCAGAAGCCCCAAAGCCATGAACCCTAAACCCTAGAAGCCCCAAAGCCATGAACCCTAAACCCTAGAAGCCCTAAAGCCATGAACCCTAAACCCTAGAAGCCCTAAAGCCATGAACCCTAAACCCTAGAAGCCCTGAAGCCATGAACCCTAAACCCTAGAAGCCCTAAAGCCATGAACCCTAAACCCTAGAAGCCCTAAAGCCATGGACACATCACCAGGCCTCGGCTTCGCGTCCCAAGCGCGGGGCCCGACGCCGGGGCGCCGCTGGGGCGCAGGGCCGAGAGGCAATGGACCTCTGACTTTTAGAAAGAGAAATATGTACAAGTAAGGTTTGGGGTTTAGGGTTCAGGGTCTGTATAATATGTGGATTTAGGCATTTAGGGTGAAGGGTTTAAGCAACTGCAAAAGATAACATGTGCAATATGTGAGTTTAGGGCTAAAGGGTTTCTGATTCTTGCACCTAAACGGAATTCACATTAAAATTCGAGTAGGGTTTTTGGGGTTTTATTAGACTGCGAAGGCTTAGGGCTTGAGGGTCCTGCAGGTCTTGTGGCCTGGAGAGCGGAGTTCTGAGGCGGAAGAGAGGGAGAAGGAAAGAGAGATAAGACAGAGAAGGTCATGAACAGGTTGGCAAACAGCAGGGTAACGAAGCTGGGGCTGTTGGCTTACATTCAGCAGTTAGAGGACGCGGATTCTGAGAAGACTCGTAGAATTAGGGTCCAAAGACTTCCCCCCGAGTCCGGACATGCAGAAGAACTGTGGTGCACTCTCGAACCCTTCAAGCCCTATATGGGGGTTTCCGAACACAGGGGACCCTAATATAGTACCCTAAATATTAGGATCCTTATTATAAGGACCTCAATATAAGGTACTCCTTATTTTCGGAAACTCCCATATACCCTGAGCCCAAGACCCCGAAACCACATACCGAACATTCTCAGGTCAAGGGACTACTGATTTGAAACCCAAAGCCCTCGCCCTCAAACCCAAAAGCCCTCCACCCATCCACACTAAACTCCAGAAAGCCAAAAACACCCCAAACCCACCAAGCCCGACAACCCTGCATCCGAAACCCAACAAGCCCAACATCCGCAACCCCATAAAAATCTAACCCTAAAGCCTGAAAGCAACCCTGAACCCTAAGGCAGTCTAGGGTCGAGGACTTGGAAGGATTGACTAGGCTTCAGCGTTTAGCGGTCAAGGCCTAGGGTTTACGTGAAAAAAGATAGGCTTGAGGTTGTCATGGCTAAATTTTGGGGCTTGGGTTTAAGGTTTAGAGTTTTAGGGCTTACGCTGGAGCTTTGACGATTTTTGGCTGCTGCCCACCTGAAGCCCCAGCGTGGCGGTAGAAGTTGCTGACTGTGCCTGTCACAGGCGGCTGAACGTACCTTTGAATTTTTAGAGGGTGTCGACCTACTGCTGGTCTTTCCCAGAAGCTACCAACCCTAAACCCTAAACCCTAAACCCTAAAATCCTAAACCCTAAACCCTCAACCTATAGTTGCAGGTTTAAGGTTCGAGTTTGGGGCTTGACCTCGTAAGTTGCTTGACACCAGTGTATCCTTACCGTGGGTGAATGATTAATGATGCATGATGATGCACAATGTTCAGGGTTTGGGGCTCAAAGAGTTTAGGGTGTAGGGTGTAGGTTTAGGTCAATACTGTCAATACTGATAACTTTGATCCTGAAAGCTACGCCTCTGGGCACAATTCTTTCGAACCCATCCCCGCAACTCCAGCAGTCTTAAGCTGACGCTGTCAACACAAACCATCAAAAAGCCCCTCTCCAACCCCTGATCCCCGAACTCTAAACCCCTAGAGCCCAAAAACCTCCCGCACATAGCCTTATGCTCTAAATGTATCATCGCCCATCAAGTACCTGGGCGCTTCGATCCGCGGACGCAGCGCCGGCTGCGAAGCGACCAAAGCCATGGCAGGCGAGAAAGGGCCCTTAATCCCCCAAACCCCAAACTCAAAACCCCTGAACCCAAAGCCATACACCGTGAAAGTCCTGCTGGGCCACACCTGGATCCCGGGGGTTTCTCACTGATTAGTGCTCTGATCAGCAACATTTCTGATGATGCTAAGACCGTCATAGGCCCAAATGGTGGAATTCATCTACCTAGACCAGCTCGCAGGGATGCTTCTGACAAGGACATGTGTCATGCTGTCAGCATTACAAGGAGCTTCATGAAATGTCAAGCTGGTGACCCGTTCTTCTATAGCCGCAAGGCTTCAGCATCATGACAGCAGTAATGTTACATCACCTACTCGGAGCATGTCGCCAGTTCGCGACGGATGGAGGCCGGAGATACTGCCAGAGCACGCGATTCTCCCTGGGACGGCCGAAGACTTCTAGACATAACCCGACCCCCTTTTGCTTGCGGCACAACTGTGATGAGAACAAGAAGAGGAACAATCTGACAAGGCCTCGCTGCCATCATTCCTGACCACCCGAATGATGTGAAGCCTCTGAAGAATCGGAAGGTCGACCATAGCTGCAACAGCGACCCAAGGGGGACTTGGGTGCCAGCGAACGCTTGCTGATCCAGCTTCGTGTTTCAGGGTTTGGTAGACAGGTACAACGACACGGGACGACACTGCAGATGAAATTGACAACGACACTGCCACTGATGGCGACAATCGAAACGATGATGGGAATAACGGTCCGGTAATCACAACACCCACCATGATGATGACTATGAGGATGATGATGATTGATGATGAAAGTGATGATGACAGCGATGACGAAGGGAATGCCAAGAATATTATGGTAATGATGGTGGTGATGACGATGGTGGTGATGATGGTGATGGTGCTGATGATGATGATGATGATGATGATGATGTGGTGGTGACGGTCGTGGAGGTGGTGGGTGGTGGGTGGTGGGTGGTGGCGGTGGTTGTGGTGGTGGTGCTGACGGTGGCGGTGGTGGTGACGTTGCTGATGCTGATGGCGCTGAATATGAT